TTGAGTTAACTTTTACGCTATCGAAAACGTTATGAAACTCGCACTAAGCACACAGAATAGTAACCTTTTTTAATCGACTTAAACTAGTTAAAAACTAGTATGCAGCGTCTCCTCAAGTACTTCGGACACGTGGCCCGACAAAATCCTGAGAACTTGGAAAAATTAATAGTTGTAGGTCACGTGGAAGGAAAGAGAAGTCGAGGAAGATTGCCAACCAGGTGGACGGACATTATCAAGGAGGCCACGAACACCAGCGTCCCGGGCGCCATTAAGCAGGCCGAATGCAGGCAGCATTGGAGGAAGCTGGTGCAAAAACTGGACCAAGGTGGTCACGACCCTCAGTAATGAGGAAACGACAGAGAAGAAGAAACTAGTTAAAGGAGTTAAACTCCTCCGCGGTATTTCGTGAGCGCTACACGATACGTCCTTTTTCAAACAAGGCAGAATACTACTACAATCAAAACACCGCCCTGGCTATACCCTAGTTCTACTGATATCCACGAGCGACCATGCAATTTTCGAACTGGCCACAACAAAATATCCATTATCTTTACTAATATATAAATCTACAGTGGTTTTTGCGGATGTTCCGTTATAACTACTGAACCGTGCATCCGATTGATTTGAAACTTGGTATCCATGTAGAATAAAATTAAATAATAGTTTAAAAAAACTAACAAAATACGCTTTTATAGAAAATCCAAGTAAAAAGACATCACTAGTCTATAGCACTACTAAACACAGGTCTTTTCAATTGCATCCTCCACTTCTCTCATCTAGCTCTTGCTAACCACCCTGTATCGTCACTCCACTGAGTCTAAGGGCCTCCTGCACTACGTTTTCAAATTCACGGTCTCCACTCAATATTTTTTTTCCTACCTATGCTGATAGCCTTGAGAGGCTATTTCAGCTTCGCCCTAGCGTGTGGGTGAGCTCACAGAGCTCAAACCGAAGTGATGCTAACACTGACCCTAACAAGAGCAGTGCTTCGCAGAATCTACCACCAGATCGGAAACGCGCAAGGCTCTCAGCTAAGGTAGGAAAAAAAAGGCTTGTTAAGTAATATTTTTGCTTGCGGGTTGCAACTATCGTTCTATCGTTCAGTAGTATCAAAACTATCGTTCGCGCAATGACAATATGTACTAAATCATTTGAAGGTGGGAACTAGTTACGTGTCCCCGCATCACTATTGTTCGAAACGCGGCCTACTTCCAAACGTTTTAGTCAGCGGTTTCGCCATTATTGATATAACCGTTATTATAGCGGGCTTTTAACCGGCTGTATGGTTGAACGCAACAGGGTCTACTGTTTGCCGAATTAAAAAAAAAAAAAATCCGTTGTCATAAGCGGTCCTTAGTGTATAAATTTATTTATTCTGCACTAGCTGACCGGGCAGACTTCGTAGTGCCTCAATCGATCAATAAAAGACCTAAACTTTTGTATAAAATAAACATAAAACAAACAAAAGGAGTCCATTCGACGGAGGACACATCAAAGGAAAAATAAAATTATTATTTTTATTTAATTCCGAGCATTTCCACAAATAATTCAAGACCAAAATTAGCCAAATCGGTTCAGCCATTCTCGAGTTATAGCGAGACTAACAAATAGAAATTCATTTTTATTTATATACTAGCTGACCCGGCAGACTTCGTAGTGCCTCAATCGATAAATAAAAGACCTAAGCTTTTGTATAAAATAAACATAAAACAACAAAACAAAAGGAATCCGTCCGACGGGGGACACATGAAAGGGAAAACAAAATTGTTATTTTTATTTAATTCCTAGCATTTTCATATTTATCTACCTTTTAAACCTTCTCTGAACTTCCACAAATAATTCAGGACCAAAATTAGTCAAATCGGTCCCGCCATTCTCAAGTCTTAGCGAGACTAACGAACAGCAATTCATTTTATTTATATAGAAGAAGAAGAAGAAGAATAAGAAGAAGAAGAAGATAGAATATAGAGATAGAAGATAGATTGTACATGCAACAGAATACGTAACAAATTAAGAGTAATTGTTATTAGCATTATTATTTATTTAATTTGGCTGCTCATTGCATGGAACCTTAGAAGCATTTCAAGGGCTACAAATAAATAAAAAATCGACATTCCCGAATACTACATATGCTGGTAAAACCAGTTCGCATGGCTGCGACTCGGTGGAAAAAAAAATAAAAAAAAAATACGGCGTTTTGTTCTTATGTCCCATTTTAGGTTAACTAAATCACTATTTTATTTTAATGTTGTACTTAGGAAATGTCACTAACAATGCATTTGCAAGAAAGCAATAAAAAAAATTAAAAAAAAACGGTTTGGCAATGAGACCTTTAAGCCAAGTCAATTAAGTCAATCAAGCTATTTAAAGAAATTTCTTTCTACATTCTCTTATAATACGAAAAAATGGTATGATGGAATTAAATGAATCGAGATGGGATGTAATTAAATATCAGTCTCGGTAAAATTGTTGGGACTTTTTCAGTGGACATTTTTGGAGTACCCGAGAAGCTTCATCAGCCTTGTTTATTTCCCTGCATTTGAGCACTTTCACAGATGCTAAACAGTTAATAAACCACCATTATTACATATTTAAGTCTCAAGAAACACTAAATGAACAAAATAATCACAACTTCGCTCCTCGCGTTCCGTCAAAAGATCCGATTGTAACAGAACCATTTCGACTTCTCAGAACCATCCCTACAGAGACCTATGCGATATTGTATTAAGGTTAAATGTGTCTTCAAATAACAGCATTTACAATTCGCATTACGCGCTGACTTCGCTGCTTTGAGATGGGCGCATCGGTCCAAGCCTGCACACGGTCGTATATTTTTCCTTTTTTTGCTGATAGCCTTGAGAGGCTATTTCAGCTTCACCCTAACGTATAGGTGAGCTCACAGGGCCCAAACCGAAGTGTTGCTAAAACTGGCCCTAGCAAGAGCAGTGCTTCGCAGAATCTACCACCGGATCGGAAACGCGAGAAACTCAGTGGGCTGTGTGTGTGGGTTAACGGTCGTCAGTATTCGACCGAAACAAAACATCGGATATAAATGACATTAACGTTACCGCCCACCTATCCGTGTAACCTCAAGAAAACCGGAAAGCATTATCATTTTGGACATTGGTAAATAGCGCGTGGGCTCCACTATACAAAGCCGGTACTTCAAATGCTTCATTCAATATCACTAATACAAAAGTTCGTCCTCAAAGGGACTTTTGTGTGGCGCGTGGGAAAATTCCGAGTCTACGAAGCCGGCAGTGTAGTAATTTAGGAATGGATGTTAAAGCCCTAAATCCGATGCTGACAACCCTACATCCCACTCCCACTTTAAAAGTGGAGAGTTTCAAGAGTAAGGATCGAATTCTCTCGCAAATTTATGATAAGACTGGTTGACATAAAAATCGAAATTAATCACTTTGTCTGTGTTGGAGACGCATTCATTAAATGAGGCAAAAAGCAGCTTACACCGAAAAATAACAAAATACGCTTTTATAGAAAATCCAACTAAAAAATAGAAAATAAATTTTAATAATTTTGAATTAAAAATAGTGTAAGAAAAAACATTTTATTGTAAAAAAGCGTGGGGTGCATGGTATCAGTAGTTATATTTTATGAACAGATATAGGTAGCCTAAGTTACTCCTTATATCATCAGCTACCTATCAGTGACAGTCCCGTCAAAATCGGTCCAGCCGTTCCAGAGATTAGCCAGAACAAATAGACAGACAGACAAAAATTGTAAAAAATGTTATATTGGTATATATGTTCATATGCGTGTAGTAAAAAGCGGTTATTTCAATATTACAAACAGACACTCCAATTTTATTTATATGTATAGATTTGGAAACCAACAGTACAATACAAACATATATTATTTTCAAAAATAACTAAAACAATAACCAAACATTTTTTTCACAATCAAAATGACATATAAGTAGAAAGTGAACAGCGAAGAAAAATTTAGAAATTTAAGTTATAAAAAAACAAAAGCAACACAATACGCTCATATTACATACGCTCATATATACATCAACTTACACTATAAAACTATAAGACTCATCGGACTAAATCACCTTATAAATATTCCAAAACAGCTTTTCTATATGCTACAAGTGACAAGTAAAAGATGTGAGCATTAGAGAACTTAGTATCATACAACCTACAAGATCTACGGACAAAAGAGTTAGAAGCATATTTTGTTCGAGCCGTGGACATGTGGAAGGTATGTTTAGAACGCGCGGAAATACGACTACATTTAAATGATATTTTGGAAAGAAGATAGCTAGAATGAATGTCATTATTTATTATTCTATATAAAAACATTTGATCCCTCAGTAGCCTACGATCCTATGAGGTGGAAGTCTCATTTGAATTTGATATGACCTGTCCGTTTTTTTTTCGAACCAAAACGCATGGCAGCTTCGCAGGAGAAAGACCTGAGAGGGTACCTTACCTAGTACTAGTTCTTACCACTTTTTTTTTAAGAGATTTTATGACCTGGTAACTGATACCTTTAAGTCATGTCTTATTTTAATTTATGTTCATATTTTTATGAAAAATGATATTATGGAGTGAAATGAAATGAAGATGATTAATTTGAGACGCTAATCAAGTGGGATGAAATTAAATGAAATGAATTGAGATGATATGGGATGAAATACAATCTCAGTAAAATGGTAGTCATTTACTAAGATTTTTCCAGTGGACTTTTTGGAGGATCCCGAGAAGTTACGTCCAGCAGCTTTGTTTCATTTTCCCACATTTGTGCACTTTCAGATATAAAACAGTTAATAAACCACCATTATTACACATTTAAAACCGAAGAAACACTAAATAGACAAAATAAAACAAATCACACAACTTCACTCCTCGCGTTCCCGCCAAAAAGTCCAGTTTTTATCACATTTTGCGATTAGTAAACTACCCTCAATTCTCATTCGCATGTAAATAGCAAGTATTTTCGTGTTATTTAATTATAAAACAATAAAATATATTTACCTGATCAAAGTCCTTCTGCCGCAGCGGCACTTGGGGTCTGTTGGCATTACTAGTACTCATAATTCACATAAAACGTGTACAAATAAACGTTGAGACAGTAATTGATTTTTTGTATTAACTAAATATATTCACTGAAAATCGTATCGATCCGATTACTAATTCCGTTACAAAATGCAATGCTATAAAGCTTAATAACGAGTAGAAATCACAGTGTTGGCAGCGACTATTTTACTTTAATATTTATATTACATAGCTTTTTGTGTTTTTAACGCGCTGAGACACTACGGTTCGGTTTTCTCGTGCGCGACTGCTTGTCAGTTCTGAAACAAGAAAAAACAAATATTTTAGTAAAACTTTTTTTTTTCTACCTATGCTGATGGTCTAAAGCGACCATATCAGCGTCACCGGGCTAGTAGGTGAGCTCATGGGGCTCAAGCTAGACAATGTTGCTAACACGAACCCTAGCAAGAGCCGTGCTTCGCAGAATCTACCACCGAATCGGAAACGCGACCCACTGAGAAGATCCGGCGAGAAACTCAGTGGGCTGTGTCTGTGGGTTAATTTACTCGCCGAGCCCTTGGTCGCAAGCGATGGGTTCGACGAGAACGATGACCGGGTAAAACACAAATAGCCGTTATAAGCGTTGTGAACCAACTTCTAGGGTTGGGTCCACAGAGTTATTGAATTGTCCTTTCTATTTGTTCTTCAATTGGTACAGCTATTACACCGTAGATTTAATTTGGTTGAATAACATCAGTGATCACCGATGCTCATGAGAGAATAAGATGACTCCACTGAGAGAAAGACATGCCATACACACGTGACGGTGTAGTAGCAACATTTTAAATTGTAATGTTACAATCATGCGGCATGGTACCACTGTCAAGTGGGTTCTACCAACATAACAGACTTCGACTCAATGAAGGCAGGTGACGTCACATTAATTTATATTGGTTCTCCATGATTGGTGCGCCGCGATCTCGTTTGCCCAACTGCGCCAGTGGAAAAAAGGGTAAATCGATATGCCCTCTCCAGATAACTAAGAGGTCATTGTGTAAGATTATCTGGCCTCAAGCTTTTACAAGTACAGTTACAACATTGGTAAACTGACAGAACCATGGTACATGTAAACAATTTTCCTTATTAACACTGCATCATTATTTAAAAGTATAATAAATATTTGGAATTCGATTTGTAAACGATATACATGATTTAGTGAATTTTGGGGTGTCATAAAATACTTTGCTGGCTTTTAGATACGGTAAAACCTCATAGACTTATCGAAATACGGATAGCTTTAGGAAACCAATGATAGATTGAGATTTGAAGAGCGCTATATCTTATTCAGAAGTATTTGAGATGCGACTGTGGTGTCTATGGATAAACAAGGTTAGCCGTGGATGTCATTTTGTCTCAATTCATTTATGACATTTATTAGCGGCAAAAGGTAGAGGCAAAAGCTTATTTAGCACATATGACCCTAGCGCCCTCTAGTAAGCGCGCGGTCAAAATGGAATAGATACATGTGACAGGTTCATTGACACACGGCTATTCTCGACCCACGCTGGTTCTGACCCAGCGGGGTATTCCGTAGGGTAACCCACTCTAACCGGCGCCATCTCGGCGGGCTTCGGACAGCCTGCCGACCGAAGAGGGCTGGTGGTCGTGGCGCCGACGACCGCCGGTCCGGCATCCCGAGGGGGAGGTGATGCGAGAGATGTGCTCCGCACTAAACGCTTCACTTTCCCCCCTTTGCCTTTTCATGAGTTCTGTCTCATGCGAGGTTTGGACGTTGGTTGTTGATCGACAGGAGGTTTTAGTCAGTTCGACTCTGACATACCCCGCCCGCCATCCCCAGTGAAGGGCGGAAGGCCGGCGATTTCCTACTGACCAAAAAAAAAAAAAGATAGTCCTCTAACACCGCACCTTGTACTATAAGTAAAGCCGCCTCCGGACAGAGAAGCAGCTCACAGCTCACCTGGTGTGAATGGTTATTAGAGTCCATAGACTTCACACCCTGAATGCCAGCACCCGTCCTGACAAGTGAGGTGAACTCTAATTTGTATCATATATTGGCTATCCGTTATTATGCCGGAACACATCATTGCTACACAGCTAATATAGACAAAATGCTGGTATGACACTCAGAGTGCATTTCTGCCCATTATTCTCATCACCCTAGCGACGTGACACAGAAGCAGTAATCGCCAACACGATCACTAGTCAGCAGGCTATCTGAAGCCCACCTGACTTCTACCAAGTCATACCCATGGTAAGTCCCACTGAGACAAAACCAGTGTTGGTCAACAAGTACCATCATCTGTGAAACAGTTGCTCTTTCGAAGTCCCTAAGTAAACATATGGAGGCCACCCAAAGGACAAGAAGTCGAGATTTGAGAGCCCCAAGATGAAAGAACCCAAGTTAAGATTTTATCCAAATCTGACTCAACCTTGGCTCGAAAGCAACAGTATCGGTGTGTAGAGAAAGCAGTGTCATCTCTTGCTACATACTGCCTGTACATTATGGTGCACTTGCAGAAGCCAAAGATCTTCATTAAGTCTTCAAATATGATTATTAGCCTCTAGTGAACAATATGTACATACACATTTCTCACACATTTCTGAGACCTCAGAATTTGAGGTAAATGTAATAAAATGAAGCAGTATGTACATGTAGCAATAGCCATCATAGAATGGAAGTAATATGGTTACAACTTGATTAATATGAACTACACTTCCAAGATAAGCTAAGATTCGCAATAGCTATACTAAGCAAAAAACCTGCCTCACACTACAAAACATTTTTTCTCAGGTAGTCAGTCAATTAGATTAGATGGCCAAGTATGCAATACAACCATCACTAAATTTCTCCCTTCCAATAGTTCACTCAATACTGAGCATCAAAATCTGTCAGTCACACAGTGAAGTGCATCGTTCAGTCTTATGTCCAGATGCTTAGACACTTAACTAGTTTACTAACTGTAGTGTATTAGTGAGGGTACTTGTTCTCCTTTTAATAAAAGGATTGCGAAGTGCGGGTTGCATAAAGACAGACACACAATGAACTGATTTGTTACTGAACACATGTGCTTAAGTTCTTTATTAAATAATAAAACATAATATTGGCGACGATCGTAAAATACTAATATGGAGCGTAAATCAGTCAAATTCCAAGAATTTAATGTAAAATCGGATAATTGGGACAGTTATATTGACAGACTAAAATATTGTTTTGAGGCAAATGGAATCGAAAGTGATACTGTTAAAAAGGCTAATTTCTTTACTGTGTGTGGTGCTGAAGTGTTCGAAACTGTTCTCGCGTTAATTACACCAAGAAAATCAAGTGATGTGACTTTTGTTGAAATTGAAAACATTCTAACCAAACATTACAGTCCGAAACCAAATGAAATTTCTATGTCATACAAATTCTACAAACGAGATCAGGCACCAAACGAATTGGCTTCTGAGTATATTGCTACGTTACGTAAAATTAGTTCGGGATGCAATTTTATTGATTTAGAACGAATGCTTCGAGATAGACTGGTGTGCGGCATGAGCGATCATAAGCTTCAGTATGAGTTGTTGAAGAGAGAACAACTTCGTTATGAAGATGTTGTACATGCTATGGTATCATCGGAGAGCGCCGGAAAGGATGTGCGCATGATTCAAAGCACGAGCACGGACACATTTGGTATGACACAGGGTGAGGTAGTGACGTCACATGCCGAGCCTATGGAAGTGAATGTCGTAAATTTCAAACGTAATTTTCGACTGTGCTATCGCTGCGGAGACCGACACGGTGGAGAGTGTCGTTATATTAATTCAATTTGTCATTATTGTAAGAAAAAAGGGCATATTGAAAAGATATGTACATCTAAGAAAAACAACAAAAGAAAGAGCATTAACTATACAGATGATGAATTTCAAGCGCAATTAAATGGTATTTACAACGTGAACACAAATAGTCAGCGTGTACCAGCTTACGAAGTAAAGGTGTTACTAGATGGTGTACCAGTGATTATGGAAGTGGACTCGGGTGCTGCCTACTCTCTTGTGAATTTGCATACGTGGCGTCGAATACACAATCACATGCCTTTGGAACCTTTGATGAATAAATTATGTACTTGGAATAATTCTGCAGTCAGAGTGGACGGTCAAGCCACAGTGCTAGTACAATATAAAGACATTAAGTGTTCTCTTAAGGTTATTGTGGCTCAGGGTTCGGGTCCAAATTTGTTAGGACGTAATTGGTTTGAAGCTTTAGGAATATGTGTAAATGTAAATNAACAATATGACTTCGTCGACCGTTGTTAAACACCTTCGAACAATATTTGCGACACACGGATTGTGTGAGGTATTGGTGTCTGACAATGGAACACCTTTTGTATCTGAAGAAACGAGAAAATTTCTAGAGTCTAATAAAATTAGACATATTACAACGGCGCCACATCATCCGTCTACTAACGGACTGGCAGAAAGAATGGTTCAAACAGTTAAGGACAAGTTACGGAAGATGGACGGTATCTCTTGGGATATAAAACTTCCCAATATATTATTAGGACTTCGCACAATTCCATGTGCAACAACAAATAAAAGTCCATGTGAATTATTGATGAACAGGCGCTTGCGCACCTTGCTTGATACACTCCACCCAGACAATATCCAAACGTGTAAGAGAAATGAACAGATTGAAAGAAATGGCAACAAAAAAATTAGACACACTGATGTGGGGCAGAAAGTGATGTACAGGAACTTTGGAAATGGATCCCGTTGGTTACCAGGAACGGTAGTTTACAGGAATGGGCCAGGAAACTATCAAGTAGAAACTGGTGATGGAACAGTGGTGAATAGACATATAGATCAATTACTTAAAAAAGAAACAGATTCTGGACTGGAAACTGCAGAAAGAGGGAAGGAATCGGAATTGGATTGTGAGGCAGTGAATGTTGAGGAACAAGAAAATATGGAAGACATTTCTAGTAGTTTGGAGGAACAGGAAATTATAGAGATACCGAGTCCGGATAAATGGGCAGAAATGTTAGGAATTCCTCCCGAACCAGAATCAGGATATTCTGGTGGTAAAATTCGTCACAAAAGTCACATACATCAGAGGTCACCTTATAGTAGATTTAACTATAATTACATTAATTAAATTATTTAATAGTAATAGTAGTAATTAGAAGAAAATTATGATTAAGAATCTAATACTTTAAATTGTGATTAAATTGTACTTGTGTCTGTATTTATGGGATCGAAATATATTTCATATTATTATGGATAGTATATACTTGGGGAGAAGGTATGTAGTGTATTAGTGAGGGTACTTGTTCTCCTTTTAATAAAAGGATTGCGAAGTGCGGGTTGCATAAAGACAGACACACAATGAACTGATTTGTTACTGAACACATGTGCTTAAGTTCTTTATTAAATAATAAAACATAATACTAACTATCACTATTCCTAAGCAATTTTGATAAAAAAACAATAAGATTTGAAATTGATGAACAAAAGAAACCGTCACTAAATTTCTCCCTTCCAATAGTTCACTCAATACTGAGCATCAAAATTTGTCAGTCACACAGTGAAGTGCATCGCTCAGACTTATGTCCAGATGCTTAGACACTAACCAGTTTACTAACCATCACTATTCCTAAGCAATTTTGATAAAAAAACAATAAGATTTCAAATTAATGAACAAGAGAAAGTTACGAACAATACAATGTCAACTTAATTTATGCAACTGTGTATGTTTTTTTTTATTGCCCTTGTAGTCATACGGCCCACCTGACGGTGAGTGGTTACCGTCGCCCATGGCCTTCAGCAATGCCAGGGGCAGAGCTAAGCCGCTGCCTACCGTACGGGTTCAATATCACGATACCCAGTTACAAATAGACAGTTGAGAGTTCATCCGCGAGGCAGACTCAGTAAATTTGTCTTCATGTACATTTATTTTATTTTATTAATGTGCAATTATTATTTTGAAGAGAATAGCAAACAGCATATATTACACGTACACGTACATTATTTCGTTCATTGTTTTTTGTGTTACACAATTATTTTCGTGAAAAGAACTTATCATCTCAATTTCGTAATACTCATATGAATTTCGACATGTGAATACAGCACCAACTGAATTGTAATATTAGTTTACTTAAGAATACCTAAAAACTTTTCTTTGTATTGCGTTTTTTTAAACATCATTATCATTAATCTTTAACGTTATCATTGCCTAGACAACAACAATGCCACAAGCACATCCAATGCTTTTAAATTACTTTTGAAAAGATATGCCATAGCTCTTAAGTAATAACGATCACTAGAAACACACTGTAGAAGAATGCCAGTCCCAAATTACTACTTGGGATGTCCTCACAAGCTCATGAAGTATATTCTTACAAAGGGATGAATTTGCTTAGCTTGATTCAGTCAATCAATATAGTTGGCAACTTACATTTAAGGCAAGAGATTAGACATTTAGGGCATTTGGCCTTGGAAATAGCCACTTTGCACTCCATTTCCTGTATTCATTGTGCAAAATCAGAACTCTACTTATATTTTTCCTACTTTGAGCACAACCATTAATATCTTACATCACTGAATCCCTCTAATTTCATATGTAACACATATTACATACATAATATTTATTGGTCCCTCTAATTTCGTATGTAATATATTTTACACAGTATTTATGTAAATCTATACAAGACCTAGTTATTTTCTCGATATTGCCACTAACAAAAAGCAGGTGGTAACAGATTTAAAAGAAAAAGTGTAGATAAGCATAGGAAGACATAACAGACATACGTTTTGTTGTGTATTGTGCTCATTGAACGATAACTGTTTGTTCAACTAGAAAACTGTGTCTTATTAGCATAAACAAAAAAAAAAACAAATTACCGTTTTCCTTAACTGCGCATAACGATGTGCGATATTAACATGGAGTTTATGAATTTAATAATACGTAAATTCAATTACCAAGCTAAAAACGATACGAAAAGTAAAAGTGTTGTTGGATCTGACAAAGGAATCGAGATTTTGCAACACAAACAAGGGCAATCGAGAACGTGTTTTTTTAATAATCTCTCAAGCTTTTGACTTACAACATACCTTCTTAGTCTTCCCGTTAAACTTAATGGCACTATATTTTACATAAAAAGCACTAAATGAGCTATTTCAAACACGTTTAATCATTATATTGCGACTGGTTTCTGCCTGACAATTTCAGGTAGGTAGGTAAGTACCTACCTACATCTGTAATTTGGACTACCTACCTGACAATTCACTGACAGTCACAGCGTGACATGACAGATATGAAATAACGCTACCGTAAAGCGTTCGAATTTTTTTAGTTTTGATATGTTTTAAAATGGGTATGTAAATTGATCGGATTATACTTACGTAGCACCCGTTTTCACGCTGTCATCGACCACATTACACTTTTTTATGTACTTGATGCGATACGATTGAGCTTGTTTTATTATACCACGATTTACAATCACGATTCATCAAATTTTATTCAATTCGGCTATACGTACACATGTAGGCCTTGTTATTTTGGACCATTTCATTCTCACTTCAAATAAAAAGAAACAACAGTGAAAAGAGAGAACAAAACTGAAGCAGTGCTGCCGGTAAATAAATTAGACAAATCCCAAACCCTTATTGATTTTATAGGATTTTTTATTATTATGCCATAAAACTTTATTTTCATATACCCATAATATTACATGTCAGCCTTCTTTAACGATGTTTGAATTTATTTGAAAAAAACAATTTGATAGACTTCAATTTCCTTGTAAATCAGCAAGACTGGTTGCGTTCAGTTTGGTGTTCTCCAAAGATTGCTTTTGCATTAAACTGCCTAGTAACCAAGTAATATCAATCAATCACTAATATAGTTAATGATTTTTTTTAAACAAGGATATGATAGATATAAATAGCAATCGCAAAACCTTCCGATCGTCATCGTTGTCCATAAAAGTCCCACATTACCTTAAATCAGACGAAAAGTATCCGCACTGGCAACTCTTAAAACCGTGTTCATTTTCACTCTACTGTGACGCTAGGTGGCGTTACTTTTTTGAGTATTGATGCGTTCAAATTCACTCAGAGGGGATTTAGTGAATTCAGATTTATGCTACTCTGGACTCTGGAACACAAGTAGATTAAACATAAATAGAAATGAATTAATTAGGGCAGAAACGTAACATTTGTATGTATGCCAATAAAAATAATGAATATACTATTTTAATTGTTAAATAGACCATGTTTTCTATCAATTAACAACAATAAAAATCATGTTAATGGACTATCTATGCAGACTAAAGTGCAGGAATCTCCAGCTTTTTAAATAAATCTGTGTACTGGTTTCAATGCCTAGGTACTGAAATGTTGATTTCTCAGGTAATTAAGCTTGTAAATTTTCTGCATGAGCAACTACGACAAATCAATAAAACTATTAACCTAAGAATATATCCCACAGAAATACTTGACCAAGCCAGGTCCTTCCCCACCGCAAAGCTTTTCATGTTGAAATTGTGATGAAAACATTTAATTTTGGTGAATGAACAATAATATTTTTACTCTAGATGAGCAGATTATCTGTAGACCACTCGTCGATTGATCCAATTGGTTATCAGATTAGCTAAGAGTATTACAGTCCCTGCTTAGTTTTGTTTTCTAACAAAAGTTAACAAAGGTTAAATGAATGGTCTCGAGAAGATATTTTTAAATGAAAAGGTTGTTATGACCCTTAATACTTCTAAAATTGTACTAGGATCTTCGAAAAATTTACTGTTGAACTTAAGTTGATGGTTTTGACTTGTTTAGGAACCCAGATAAAGTTCTCGTGTGTAAATATTGTAGTCGTGTGATCTGCGTGCTTCTACTACAATATTTACTACAGAAAATAAATAATATTGCGCGAAACTCTTGCCAAATCTGCTAGAATTCCACGATTGTTCTTGCAAGGTCTAAGCTGCAAACACAAAAATGACAGTGACACATTTTAGTTAATCTAAAAGTAATTTATCAGACCACGACTGGCTGGCCCAGTAACTAGTGCCCTCGAGTGCTACCTGAGGGTCAATGTTTTTACTTCCATATTGACTATACATTTGTGTGATAATACTCTCTGAGTGCTATGTAAATATTTATGTATTGATACCTAACTTATGATAAAAGTATGTTTATCAGTTTTTGGTTTTCCATAGAACAGTTAGTTTGGTGACAGAATGAGATTTGTGCTCGAACATTTATTTATTTAGTTTTTATTTTCACCGAAAAGCTAGTTATTTTGATATTATCCACAACTTAAGGCGTTGTCTTATTTTAACTATTTGGTTACCTTTTATTTCGTTTCCTTATTGATTTCATTTTATTTTTCGTACATCTGTATGACAAAGTGAGGTCTATTTGTTTAAACAAGATTCAAAATTATTAATGAGGCCCAAGGCTGGACAATAATAGTTTCCGTTTTATGCATTTTAAATGGACAAATTAAAAAAGTGGTTCAAGTGACATATGACACTTGACAGATTATTAACAATAATTTGCGTTGCAACTTGCAAACGGAATCATCCGTTTACAATTTATCTGTTTATATTTGATTTGCGAGGAAAAATATTCACATATTTTTTAAAAATAAATTGTGGTTTAAATTAATAAAATTACTTTAAATTCACCCAGAACCAGCCATGTGCTATGTTATAGTAACGGGGCGCAGCTTAGCATGGTTATTACTAAGTTTGGTAGCTTTTATGTTTATTTTGACTGGAATAATGACGCCTAAATGGCTCTTAGGGCAGCCTGAAATTATAAATGAGAACAATGCAACAAGCTTCTACATACGAAGCGTCGGAATATATAATAGGTAAAATTTTAGCGACTTTGTTTACATGGTCTTACATAAAAAAACACATTTTTTTAGTATTCAATGACGATAGAATCTGCCTCTAAAATAAATGAATGTTGATATCATGGGACCTAGTTCTTTTTTTAAATGTTAGAGCAATAAATTAAATTATAATTAAATTTTTACTATAGTCAAGTGGTAGCACAACTGCCCACAGAGGTGGGATGTCTGACCTGAATGCCGAAACAGCGGCTATTCCAATACAAAATACACTTAATCTCATTCTATGAGGACAGTAACAGTAGGAATAAGAGCAGTATAGTATTGGCAGATTTGTGGCAATGCTTGGTAATTTAGACTTGTTTTTTTGAATGCAAATCATTATGAAATGTTCTGACATTTTGCATTCTGCATTAATAATTTAATAAAAGAAAAATAAGATCTGAGTTTCTTGCCCATTTTTCTCAGTGATGAAATAGTATTTTGGAATTGTCAAAAACTCACAAAGATTTAAAAGCATTAATGGAGGCTCACATTAATAAATAAAAAAACATGTCTTAAAGTATAGTATATTTTTTTATTTAGTATATACAGGGTTTTATTTGCATTAATTATTTGTATACTTGTTTCAGGTGTATCAGAATGACACATGACCATAACAACTGTGGTTCATTCTCTTTCAACGGTCTCGCAACTGATTCTTCTGTTTACCCTGGCCCCTGGAAGGCTGCTATGTTTTTCTTGTCACTGTGTAAGATTCTCGTATTTTTTTATAGCTTATATACTGTGGTATACAATTTGAACTATATGTGAATGAAGAGGCATCACAGGTAATACCCAAAAATGATGCATAAAAATATAAAATTTGAATATTTAAGCCCACTGAGTTTCTCACCGGATCTTCTGAGAGGGTCGAGATTCTGATGCAGAGGTAGATTCTGTGAAGCACTGCTCTTACTAGGGCAAGTATTTGCAAATTCTCTCAGGTTCAGCTGATGAGCTCACCTGCTCGTCCGAACGTAGCTGTAATAGCCTCTTAGGCTACCAGCAAATAGGTAGGGAAAAAATAAAAATTAATTGAATATTTATATTTTAGTGGTTTTTTTTTGCATTGAATTAAATAATAATTATTCTCGATTGAGATGTACACTGAAAACGTGTATTTTGTAGTACTATAAGTAGGGCAACATCCTGTTCTACTTGTATACAGCGTTTGAAATACATTTTTTTGCTGTAATCTAGATTGGTATGTCACTTTTTCCCTTTTGGAAATCTCAACCTCAAGATTTGAATTATTTCAATAAATCTTATTATAAAAATCCTTGCATTAATATCTATGATACATTAGAAATATAATAGTCCAGTCATTTTAGATCAAATTAGGTGCATATCTCGGAAAATCGACGTACCCAGTATATTACCATGTAAAAACTTGTATTTTGTCATCCCAGTAACAGTTCTCAAAATTCACATATAATTGGATGGTCGCAAGTTTTAAAGTCAGGCTTCAAAGGTCACCGTCATACTATGTTGAGAAACTTTTTTTCTATTATGTTCAAGGCTGAAACTAAATCACTTATTGATAATATTTTTTAATTTAATTATGTTTCATTTTACAGGTGCCTCGATACAATTTGCGACTGTGCTAGCAGGAATTATGGCGTGCTGTGTACAATCTGTTTTCAAGAAAAGCGTCATATCATTAGCAGGAGCCACGCAGGCTTTGGCTGGTGGGTAGACAGCGAACAATAAAAATAAACTAGAAAATTGTTTTTTTTATATCAAGCTGGTTTCAACAACCACACCAGCTTCAGCTGATAAGTGGATAGCGATGTATAAAATATACTAATATCCTAAACCACAAAATTTAAATTAAAACACAATGATAAGTCTCATACTACGTCTATTGATGTGATTGGCATAAAAGTGCTGTTAGAATTATTAGATTTTATTGAGTGATTTAATCATTGAATTGAGTTGCTTTTATCCCATTCTGTCTACACGGTGCTTAGTAGTTACTGTTGTCTGTAGACATCAAATTGTCAACTCTGTTACCCATACAGAAACATGAGATTCAATTCTTAAATTATATACTGGATTACTCGTTAAAATTGTTTTTCTAATTAGAGGCTTATTCTATGATGTTATTCCTTCAAGGTGGAAGTCATTCATAAGACTTGTCTAATATGTATAAATTTGATTAGAAAATTTTTAATCTGCCTGTGGGGTTTGAAAACTGCCATAGTTGCATAGCTTGATTTAAGTATACTGGACTGGAAAAATAAAATTCATTAATCCCTTAGATGTGTTTTGAACAATATCCACATCTTACAAATGTACAATGTACTATGTTTATCTTTCTTTTAGGTTTATTTGGCGTACTGGGCCTAGTGCTCTACCCCTGGGGTTGGGGTGCGGATAGGGTAAAAAGGCTGTGTGGTGAGAATTCTGAACCCTACATACCCGGAGATTGCTCTATAGGTCAGTATGAAATTAGTAAGCACAAAGAAAATATTGTTTGGTAATGCAGCAATGCCTAATTGAAATACTGCAAAATGTAAATCGCACCAACAATAATTTCATTCAATTTAAACAAATCACTACAATTTTTTCAAACTCTTTATAAATATTTTTCTGAATGATGTGTATAGAATCAAATCTGTATAAATGAGAGTTCAAGTTAGTGCAATCTCTTTGTCGCGTGAGAAGTTTTCTCACTAGTCCTACTTAGCGGTAAGCAGCGGCTTGGCTCTGCCCCTGGAATTGCTGAAGTCCTTGGGCGACGATAACCACTCACCATCAGGTGCACATGCAGTATGCTCGTCTGCCTACAAGGGCAATAAAAAAAAAATAGCTTATGGAGCTACAGAAATGGCCACCGTCACTCATAGAGGTTAAGTAAGTTAAATTAAAAAAATTAACAAAATTAAACCATTTATCATCAACATAAAAAATTAAAAAGTGTGCATACACGCTTGACTGTCGCTTATATAGTTACATATAATCAGCAATTTCAAATATCGAACAAACAAGAATCCACCTCTCTCTCTCTTGTAAAGGCTTCTATTTTTTAAACATGGGGGTTTCAGAGGCTAAGCATGAGATCATGTAATTTTACTGGTGGTAGGGCGTCCTAGGAACCTGCGCGGTTGGACGTCACCACGTAACCAATAGTGCGTTTTGGTTTGAAGTCTAGGATAAGCTTTGTATTGTAAAATTGAGACTTAGACCTCACGCCTCAAGATGGGTGGCGGAATTTACGCTGTTGGTGTCTATTGTCTCCGGTGACTAACACATCACGTGGGCTGTGAGGTCGTCCATCCACCTAAGAAATATAAAAGAAATTAAAGAGTTCTCTCGCTGCCCAGTTCTTACTCAAGTCCGACTAGTATATAATCTATATACTAAATATAAATCTACAGTGGTTTTTACGGATGTTCCATTATAACTACTGAACCATGCATCCGATTGACTTGAAACTTGGTATCTATGTAGAAAATATATTAATGGATAGGCTAATATTTATATGACTGTTGGACTCCCTAATAATAATAACAATAAATAATAATGTTAATTTTAAATGCCCAGCGAAGCGGGCGAGTACGGCTAGTTTTTTTTTTAAGGGATTTTATGACCTGGTAACTAAGACCTTTAAAGTCATGTCTTATTTTAATTTATATTCATATTTTTATGAAAAATGATAACATGGAGTAAAATGAAATGGGCTATCATATTCGTTATATGAAACGATTTACTTAAAATTACCTAATAATTACCCTATTACTAATAACTAGTGGTCCCGCATTAGTCGAAATTCGACTATAATTAACTGAAATTATAAGTCTGAACATTATTACGATTTTATTGTCAAAGACTATTAGTACATACTTCGATAATCACATATTTTGCCAAGACTACACTATAGATAAAGAATATTAAAGATAAACAATATTAACCTCTTCCAATTTTGACCACAGACTTTAAGCAATAACAAAAGCTTGACAGTAAATAAAGAGTATATATATAAATGTGTGTGGGTTAAAAACATGGTAGTGTGTGTAATATTTTTTTTATTGATTTAATGTATTATTAACGCACAATTTAAAAAAAAAAATAGTATTCAGCAATCCTTCTCTGTATTCTCTATAAGTTTTTTAAATTTTATACTCTTCCGTCCGCACAATTTTCGTAAAAAGGGGTACAAAGTTTTTGCTTCACGTATTAATATATAGATTAATAATTAATAAATAATTACAAATTTTTTTCAGGTTGGGCATTGTTCGTAACAGTTACGGGAGTCGCTCAAATCTTCTTGGCCTGCGCTCTCTCGAAAACGGCTGACAAAGCGGCCAATTCTGATAAAGTTCAATTTCAAATGGACGAAGGGAAACAGTTGATATGCCTAGCTTGATTCGTGAGTGTTGCCAGCAACTGTAATTCGAAACAATAAAAAATCCAATCTACATTTTAATGTAAAGTATTTCAAGGTATATTACATAAAAATAGTTATGGTAAAATATATGAACGATATACAGGGTGGGGTTTTAGTGGCTGTTTTATAAACACTATAGCGATTTTTTCGATGTGATATTTTGTTCTTTCGTGGCCTACCGGTATCGTGTTGGTCTTCCATGTTTGAAGGCACATATTTGAGACTTGGCTTGAATACTGTTGTACAGTACATAATATGTAAAGTGTAGTATGTTCACAAGAGCCAGCGATCGGCAAAATTTCAACAATATATCTAAATTAAATAGAAATTGACATTCCTCTTTATTTTGTGTTACAAGCAAAGGTGAATATTTTTCTTTGTGAAGAATGTATTAAATTTATTTTAAAGTGACGTAGCATTTAATAGTTTGTGAGTGTAAGATAAGTGTTTGCACAATGACGTCACAAAACCTGTGCATCTTTTTTCGTAACGCAATTATATGGATTTATGAGATCATACCTACAAGACATTCCTGATTGAAAATTACTTCAATATACTATTCTTTGAAAGCAAATACTATAGTACCATATGCTTTAACGTTCATTTTTAAGGAAAAATTAGAAAATTTCAACGCATGGAAAAATTAACTAAATAAAAATTGTGTATTTGACCTCAAACGGTGGTTAAAATGTTAAAAGACATGTTCATTGTTACATCACTTCTATGCCAGTGTATTAAATTAATTTAATGAAATTAATAAAAATGCCATATTATTCCAAAGCCACCAACTACACCCTGTATAGAGAAAATTGTAAAAAAATGTTGTGACACTTAACAAAACAAGACTGATCTAATTGAACTCCAAAACTTTTGATACATATACATATACTATTTTAAATGTCCAATTTTAATTTGACTAAATCTTTTATTGAGGATAATTTTATTACAAATAGTATTAATCTTCTTAGTATCTCTGTGTTTTCTGAATGCGTATTATTTACTCATCATTTAAGACTAAGTATTATATATAATAATATAAGTAAGTGATCAATTAAATATAATTGTTTAAATCACACGCGCCATGTCTAACGTAGATGGTACCTTTCTGTCACCATAAAAATCATTTCTGATTGTCGTTACATTATCTGATATGCGTATGGATGACACGGGCAGACAAAGGTATAATTTTTATTTTTATTCATAATTATCAATCACAGTTCACACCCATGAGTGCGTCTACGTGTTTACACAATGAATTTTTATAATCATTACAGTAAATAGATATAAAAGATATAGATTTTAATTTACGATAAATACTCAATAGTTATGTATGAACCATATGATAACTTAACTCATAGCTTTAATGATATTCTTATGTTTCTTAGATTGAAACTTTTTCTATATTTTAATTTTAAGTACTAATACAGAAAGTAAACTTTGGTAGAACTCTGCACAATTGGCAACACTTTGGGTAACATTTACTTTTTGGACTTTTTGGCGGGAACGCGAGGAGTGAAGTTGTGTGATTTGTTTTATTTTGTTTATTTAGTGTTTCTTCACGTTTAAATGTGTAATAATGGTTGTTTATTAACTGTTTAATATCTGTGAAAGTGCACAAATGTGGGAAAATAAAACAAAGCCGCTGGACGTAACTTTTCGGGATCCTCCAAAAAGTCCACTGAAAAATCTTAGTAAATGACCACCATTTTACTGAGATTATATTTCATCCCATATCATCTCATCTCATTTCATTTAATTTCATCCCAGTTGATTAATGTCTCAAATTAATCGTCTTCATTTCAATTCACTCCATAATATCATTATTCATAAAAATATGAATATAAATTAAGATAAGACATGACTTAAAGGTCTTAGTTACCAGGTCATAAAATCCCTTAAAAAAAAAACATTTTGTTATTATTAAATGGCCAGGATTCCTCCTCTTGTCCTTTAGACAAACTTTTATTAAACTTACTATAAACTTTGCTATATTAAAATTATTTCAATGGAATGGAAATTAAGTTAATTTAAAATTTTAATAAATTAAGATGAAATTAAATAAAATAAAACGAGATGAGATGAAGTCAAATAATGAAATGTGAGAATTTATACAGAAGACTTCGGAAGAGCTTATCTGATATGCGACTTTCTTTTTTTTTTCAACCGCACTGAGGTATTTTCTAAGATGCTATAAAATTGAAATCTAACATTATTACATAGACGCAAAAAATTGCGTTTCGCAGTCACGCTGGGAAGTCCCTTCTTGAGTTCAGACTTTGAGTGTTGCCAAACGCGGAAATCAAGTTTACCCAGAATTTTGCTTATTTATTGAATAACAACAAAAGTGCCATAATTGGCTTTATTAATTAAAAAAATATATATTTCTAATCATTCAAACGCTTTAATTTTTATTTTAATAAAAACATTTACTATTTTAATGCTTTATACTCCTAAATAGATAACTACTTTAATTAATGTTCAAGTAATTATCCTATTATTTATTAAATATATTTAACAATTAAAGTTTTTTTTTTCTTATGTGTTCTAACGAAATTATAAGTGTGATCAGTATTATACAATTTCTTTTAATGTTTTTTTTTGGGCGATCTTATAGTAAATTTGACATATTACTTTACCGTTACATAAATTTTTGCAAGCTGTAGAGAGAACATCTATACTGATGCGGGAATAAACTAGTGTACAGTAGGTACAATGCCCCCAAGTTTTCTCCCAAGACCGATAGCTCCCACGCTCCGACCGATTTTGATTTACATTGCGTGCTTAAACAAGAGCGTTTTTATTTTTGTCGAATCAAATTATTGTCAAGATCTCGTGTTAGATGTCACCAAATCTCTCTCTTTCTCACTCCCTCTCTCTGTCTCTCTCACTCTCTCTCTATGACTTGTTTTCGATTAGGCACCAAATGCAATCAATGGAATTTTTTAAGTAATGATATGTAAAAGCGTTTTTTTGAAAGAGCGGCGTGGTGTAAAATCTAAATCGCCGTCATCAAAGACATTTCGGTTTTTAACGCGTTCGCGTGAGCAACGTCTTACAACGTCGTGTTTATTAAAATTATGAAATGGCACAGCGTCATGACGGCCTCTAGATTATCATATTTATTTTGTCCGAACGTCTTTGGACGTCTATTAATACGCTTTTATTAGCTTCAGACGTATGTATGTATGTTTGTAACGGCCTCTTTGAGCATAATTTTGACCCCCTTCAAAACGTCGGATTAACTCTAAAAAATTATTTTATTGTAAAAAAGCGTGAGGAGCTTTTCAGGATATTATCAAAATAACCCTTCTACTCATAACTGTTCATAAAATATTTATAACTACTTATACCATGCACTCCACGCTTTTTTACAATAAAATCATTTTTTCTTACACTATTTTTAATTCAAATTTATTAAATTTTATTTTCTATTTTTTTAGTTGGATTTTCTATAAAAGCGTATTTTGTTAGTTTTTTAAACTATTATTTATTTTATGGGCAAATTCTTAAGGCGCATCTACTTAGCGCCGCAACACATCCGATTTTCAAAGCGTATACCGCCGCGTTCCCTAAAAAAAATAATTATAAGATGTATGTAGCCGTAATGGCTGGACGTTTTTAGACGTTGCTAAACTTTGTACGGGAAAAAGGTGCGCCACAGTATCAACATTCCCGATCCTGCGGAAAGAATGGAAAGCAGTCGACGTCGCCCAAAACACGTCATCTCGGATCCTTCCGATTCACTAACGGTGCTTTTAGGTACTTCAAGCACCGGTCACCGTTCTCGTCGAACCCGTCGCTTGCGACGAAGGGCTCGACGAGTAAATTATCCCTCAGACACAGCCCACCGAGTTTCTCGTCGGATCTTCTCAGTGGGTCGCGTTTCCGATCCGGTGGTAGATTCTGTGAAGCACGGCTTTTAATAGGGTTCGTGTTAGCAACGTCGTCAGGTTTGAGCCCCGAGAGCTCACCTACTAGTTAAGGTTACGCTGGAATAGCCTATCAAAGCTACCAGCTTAGGTAGGAAAAAAAAACCAATATCAATATTCAGAAATGAGGTTGCTCACGTGAACGTGTGGATTTGTAACGTAATTATTCGTTGTCCGAGACGAAATGTCGGAAATAATTTAATGAAATAAGAAGAGCGTCAGATTAAAACGTAAAGGTAACATTAATTATGTTTACGACTCGTGGAAACCTAAGTAAATATTAAATGCATGTGGCTGTATGTTTTATTTTGAGTATTCCCATTTGGTGCTCAAAAGCGTAAGGTTAAAGCAAATTTTATTATTAGGAAGCGTTTATATTTTTTATTTATGTAGCAAAATGTATTCTTGTATCGTACTTTTGTATGCTTTTACATTTTTTTTGTATGTTAAGAATAAATAAATTTTTGTATTTATTTTTTGTTTGTATTTATTGTTGGCAATACCTTGCGCTGCACTCGCAGTGTCGCTGTAGACTTTTTGGCGGGAACGCGAGGAGTGAAGTTGTGCGATTTGTTTTATTTTGTCTATTTAGTGTTTCTTCAGGTTTAAATGTGTGATTGTAGTGCATAAATCTGGGAAAATGAAACAAAGCCGCTGGATGTAACTTCTCGGGATCCTCCAAAACGTCCACTGAAAATTTCTTAAACTTCTTCTTGAGATTATATTTCATCCCATATCATCTCATCTCTTTTCATTTAATTTCATCCCAGTTGTCTCAAATTAATCATCTTCATTTCACTTCATATTATCATTTTTCATAAAAACAAGAATATAAATTAAAATACGACGTGACCTAAAGGTCTTTGTTACCAGGTCATATAATCCTTTAAAAAAAAGCAATGTCGCTGAGTACATTAGACCGAACCCACTGGGCTTCTCACCGGATCTTCTCAATGGATCGCGATTTCGAACCGGTGACAGATTCAGCGAAGCACTGCTCATGCTACCACGAAAAGTGTTAGCAAATTCTTCTGAGTTCGGTGAATCCACAAGTGAAAGCGAAACCAGAATGCCCCTTCGAAGCGATGGCAAATATGTAGAAAATAATAATAATGTACTCCTTGAAATACAGTTTCTCGTCGGAGCTCCTCAGTGGGTGGCGATTCCAATCCGATGGTAGATTCAGCGAAGTACTGCTGCTAGGGCAGATGCTAGCAGTCTCTCAGGCTGAGACCCGTTTTTTTTTTTTTTTTTTTTTATTGCTTATGTGGGTGGACGAGCCTACCTGGTGTTAACTGATTACTGGAGCCCACAGACATCCACAACGCAAATGTGCCACCCACCTTGAAATATAAGTTCTAAGGTCTCAGTATAGTTACGACGGCTGCCCCACCCTTCAA